CAACCCTAAACCCTAAACAGTTTTCCCTAAACCCCCAACCCTAAAGCAAATCCGTTTTGGAGCCTTTACCCTAACCCTACGCAAACTTTAGGCCCTAAACCCCATTAACACCTAAACGCTACGCCATAAACCATAATTATCAGTGATAGTTTATCATCAACCCTGAACCCACTAACTCCAAACCCCGAAAACCGAGCCCTGGACATTACTTAAAGGAACCCTGAAAGGAATCTTAACGAAAACATAAACCCTACCCCCCCCCCCCCCCCCGTCCGGCCGGCAACAACACTCTATAAAAGGCCTATGAACGGCTGAACACATGCTAAAATCTCCAATGGTAAATGTAAAGACTGTCGCACCCGCACCACCAAACACGAGCGACCCTACAAACACCCATTATCTGAGTTCCCTCGTCATCCCTCGTCCCCAAAAGCCTATAAACTCCTTGGGTTTAGGGTTTAGGGAATTTTTGCAGTCCGCTCAGACCCCGGTAAACACCGGTAAGCCGGCACAAGTATTACCCACATTACTCATTTGGGTTCCTCAACATAACTGTCCTACAGTATACTCCCCAAACTCCTGAAACCCAAACCCTCAGCCCAAAATCCTAAACTCTCACTGGCCCAAAACCCAAGGAGATAAAAGTTGAAACTTTCAGAATCGACTACCTTATAAGAACCACAAAAGTTGAAAAGTTGAGTTTACAGCCAATAAGAACTCTGAACACTGCCCCCAAGATCCTCAGCCATAAACCTTAAACTCGCAATGCTATACCCTTTACCTTACGCCACAAAACCTCCCCAAATGCTGAATCTTAGACGCTAAACCCTAAAACCAAAATCATATCATCATTAATACTGCAATTAGTACGACAATTAGCATTACTACGATTATTGCCGGCATTTGTATTATTATTGTCATACCCTAAAACCTAACCCTAGCAGGGTTTAGGGTTTAGGGTATAAGGGTTTGGAGGTTTGGGGTTGAGGGTTTAGGGTATAAGGGTTTAGGGGTTTAGTCGTTTAGGGTCTGGAGTTTAGCGCTTATGAGGTTGAGGGGTTGAGGATTTAGGGTTTCTTGGGTTTAGCGCTTATGGGGTTTAGGGCTTATTGGGTTTAGGGTTTAAGGTTTAGGGTTCAGCAGCTCCGGATCAAGCAGCTTCCCGTCGAGCTGAACTCCGGAAAGGTTTAGGGTTTAGGGTTTAGGGTTTAGGGTTTAGGGTTTAGGGTTTAGTTTAGGGATCCCACCCAAGATAAAAAAACCATGGTACTTTTACTTAACCTTAAGGCTGAAGTCCTAAACCCTAAGCCCTGAACTCCAAATCCCTGGTCCTACTCAAATTCTAAGGCCGAAGCACCCTAAATCCCACGCCCTGAACCCCAAAAAGCCAGCCCACAGCCCTGAGCCCCAAATCCTAAACCCTAAAGCCACTCCCGCCCTCCCCTTGCAACGACTCCGGCCCTCCCCCCCCTCAGCGGCCGGATTCGTTGCAAGGGGAGGGCCGGGTTCGTTGCAAGAAGACCCCCCCCCCCCCCAGGGAGAGACGGGGAGGGCCGGATTCTTGCAACGGACACTTTAGAGTTTCAGGTTTAGGGGTCTAGGGTTTAGGGTTTAGCAACGGACCAATTTATAATTAAGGTCTAAAGTCATATGATAAAGAGTGTAACCCTTCACCCCTAAACCCCTAAACCCTTATTAACCCTAAAGTACAAGCCCAAAAGTTGGAAATCCTTAAGAGTAATGCATAGGGATTCCCAGCTCTAATTGTCCGGTCTAAACCCTCCATGAGACCTCCATGGAGTCTCGGGGGATCCCTAAACCCTAAACCTTAGAAGCCCTATAAACCCTACGCCCTAGAAACCCTAGACAACCTAGAAACCCTAAAAACCCTAGAGGGTTTAGGGTTTAGGGTTTAGGGTTTAGGGTTTAGGGAAGCCCTATAAACCCTAAAAACCCTAGAAGCCCTATCAACCTTAAATGAGGCCTCCATGGAGTCGCTCGTGAGCGTCCCGGTCTTGTCGAAGCAGCACGTTTGGATCCTCGGGTGCATCGAGGAGGGTTTTTGGGGGGCTCCTTTTAAACCCTAAACCCTAAACCCTAAACCCTAAACCCTAAACCCTAAACCCTAAACCCTAAACCCTAAATCCTTTAAAGGGATCCTCGGGGAGCCCCTAAGGTTGAGGGTTTAAGGTTTAGGTTTACGGTTTAGGGTTTAGAGTTTAGGGTTTAGGGAACCCCTTTAAAGGGATCCCCGATCCCTTAAAAGGGGATCCCCTTAAAGGAGACCCCCTTATCGGGATTCCTTTAAAGAGGCAGCTCTTGGGTTTCAGGGCTAGGACTTTGAGTTTAGACTTGAGGGTTTGAGGGATGCTTCGACGGTGCCTTCACATGGAATTGAGGCTTTAGTGCTTTAGGGCTCAGGGTTTAGGGGGGCTCAGGGTTTAGGGTTTAGGGTTTAGTGCTTTCGGGCTTTAGGGCTCAGGGGCACGATTCGCTGGGGCCGGCACATTGCTTACGGTTGATGCCTCTATTTGGGAGTTTCCGAAATTAGGGGACCCTAACAGAGTACCCTAAAAAGTAGGATCCTTATTACAAGGTCCCTAAAATAAGGTACCCCTAATTTTCGGAAACTCCCATTTTGTTGTCTACATTCACGATGTTTTACATGTTTATCGGGTTCTATCAAAGTTCCATGAGGTGTCTCTTAATTATTTTGCGGCATTTAATTTAGGGCTTAGGGTTTAGGGTTTAGGGTTTAGGGTCTCTAAAGTGCCTGTTCTAGGAGGTCATGTATGATGTTTCGCACTTTGTCTACAAGGTTTTTATGACTGGTAGTTGGACGTGGCTTTATGGGGCTTTTGAAGCATGGATCGCGCGTTCAGGATAGAGATCTCGGGTGATCTAGGATTCAAGGTTTAGCGACGTAGCAAGCCTTTTGCATCGTTTACAGGGTTTGTGAACGCATTGAGGAGGTAATGCAAGAGCCTTAGTAATTAGAATAAGGTCTTGGGGTATATTGTACTTTAATTACAACAATGAAATCTCCACAATAGTATAGATAATTTTTTAAACCCCTATATTACCATAGTTTTAAGGGGGCTTTAGCTACGTGGTCACGGGCTTGGGATCTGGGCGAGGGGGGGCGGGGGGGGGTGGGCGTCTCGGGTTTCGCTTAGGGATGTAAGGCTGTCATGTAGGTGTCTTCACAATTAATCAATTTAGGGTTTTGGGGGTTCCTTATTTAGTTATAGTAGAAATTACCCCCAAGCCCTACTCTAATTATTCAGGCCCCTAAAGTAGGGTTTCGGTATCTGAGGATCAACTTTGCTTGGAATTTCGGATCTGGTGTTCGATGGGGCCCAGGGTCTATGGGAGCTCGGACCCTAGAGACGTTGGACGTTGGGTGAATCAAGGCAGCCACGGCTTTGAGAGACGGGAAGGGTAGCCCGGCCTTAACTTAATGGCCTCAATGATGAGAATCGCGTGTTGGTGGGGGGGGTCTATTCTGGTGCGTATAATATATATATATATATATGTATTTATTTATATGTTTATCTATTTATACTACCCCAAATTGACACGCCAAATCCTATAAACCCCAAACCCACATACCCGAAACCCGAAATCAAAAACCCCTAGACCCACAGGGAAAAATCTCCGAACCGCGTTGCGAGCGAAGGCCAAGGCTATTCAGTGCAGTCGGGCCACTGCCCAGCCAAAGGCACCCTGATGGAGGGTTTAGGGTAGAGGGGTTTAGGGGTTTAGGGTTTTGGGAAATGCCGGGGTTGGTGTAGCGCTTGGGGCTCCTAGGAACAATCTCCTCTGATAGTCCGTACTATAGCGATAAAATACGACGGATAACATACCACCCTCAACCCTGTTCGAACCATTATGCCCTCTATTTCGAGGCATGTTGTGGGGCTGTCGGGGCAGGCTCTGCAGAGTTTTGATGGATGAATTGTGGGGCTTAGGGCTTTAGTTGAGGTTTTAGGATGTAATAAACCGTTAAGCTGTCAAGGATTTGAAGTTCAAGTTTTAGGGGACTACATGCTTTCGTTTCGCTTTTGCTCCATATCGACGTTTGAACTCAGCACTGCCCAGATGCTGCTGCATTGGAAATAAGCATTGGTATGTGCAAAAAGGATATGGTGTGCTTTGCTGACGAACATCGTCATGACGACGATGATGATGATGATGATGACGACGATGACGATGACGACGATGATGACGCTGGGTGCCGATGGTGGTGATGATGCCATGATGTAGATGTAGATGTAAATGTAGATGTGATTATATGTGTATATATATATACTACACGTACATATATATATATATATAAAAATGGCGACAGTGACGAGGTGATACCATGACGGTGAAGGCGAGGTTTGGGATGGCAGCAGTAAACCCTGCCCTAACCCCTAAACCATAGACCCTGAACCCCTAAACCCTAGACTCTAGACCTTAAACCCCAAAACCTCCTAAACCCCTAAACCCAACCCCTAAAGCCCTAATTCCCCAAACCCCCAAACCCCAAAACCCCCCCCCCCAAAACGCGATCGGCCGGCCGGAAGGGCTCCGTGCAGAAGATTCGCTTCGAGACCAAGGCAACGAGGCTCAAATTCACCGCCAGGGAAAGCCTAGGATTCAGGGGTGGAGGGTTTAGGGGGTTTGGGTTTAGGGTTTAGGGTTTAGGGATTTAGGGGCTTGGGGAATTAGGGCTTGAGGCTCAAATTCACCGCCAAAGAAAGCCTGGGGTTTAGGGTTAATGTAGGGGCCTTAATAGTCAGAGTAGGGTTTTAGGCATATTGTACTATAGTTAAACTAAGGAACCCCACAAATAGCCTTAGTTATTATTTAGGCCGCTATATTAGGGTTTAGGGTTTTCGGGTGTAGGGTTTAGGGGTTTAGGGAATTAGGGCTTTAAGGGATTTAGAGTTGAGAGTTTAGGGGCTTAGGGTTGAGGGTTTGGGGCCTTAGGGCGTTTTGCGTTCAGGGTTCAGGGTGCAAGGTTTGGGTTTGGGGTTTTTTCTTCGACGTTTGTCTGGGGTTTCTAGGTTCCCCGGTAGCCCCTAAACAATAAGGGTACCCTTGTTCCTACTATTCGGTTTTGTTAAAAGAGCCCAAAGAGAAAAAGGGCAAAGGGTACTACTGGGGACCCTAAACCCTAAACCCTAAACCCTACACCCTAATTCCTAAACCCCTAAACCCTAAACCCCTAAACCCTAAACCCTAGACCCTAGACCCTAAACCCTAGCCCCGTTGGGCCTGGAACCAGCCCA